GATGCAATAATGACTTTCTCCAAAGTGATATCTTCCGTATTGATTACAAATCAAAAACATGTTCTGCTGGTTCCTCTCTAACAGGGATTCCTTTTGCTGTCATCCATGACTTTCTACATTCCAACTAGCACCAAGGTGTTTCTTTATTCTATCTCTACTTTCCATAACACAGTGATGTACAGCCTCTTAACCTTTCAGGTTTTGCTCAATCTATACTTCTCAACCAGGACTGAGAAGGAACTGGGAGTTGTAATTCTACCTTTAGGGCACTTCCATTCTCTATCTGAAGCAGTCAAGTTGATCCATTATCGCTGTCTGATATGTCAAGCTTGAAATGCTGACATTGATGAGCAAACACCCTGTCCTGTTGCAAATTTATTTATTTATCATGTTTAAGAACTACCCTCAGAAAAGGATACTGAGCAGTGTACAAATAAAACATCAAAAGCATAAAAACAGCATATAAAATTTAAAAGAGACAAATATTAAGAATCAATTAAAAGGCTGGGTGGAATAATACCAAGACACTAGTCACCCCTACAGTAGCAGTGCTCCTCTTTGTGCCAAGGCAAGGCTGCAGAGGCATACTTTCAGACTTTTCCGGAAGGCGACGAGAGTGGGGGCCAAGTTATTGTAGATTGCTGTGTTAATGGATTTTACTTAGCCCACACTGCATGGAAAGAAAAGTGTCCTACATGTTGTGAAAAAACTGAGTGGCTTCTATGAGAGGAAGTTGAAAAAGTATCAGCCTCATTTCTCAACAAAAGAGTTGCATATTGTTTTTTACTGTAGTTTATCAAAACAAACAAAATCATAGAACCAAAAACCATCTCATTCTGCTCATGAAGACATCTGGTATTATATGATCACAGAAATCAGGAGTTCTTTTGTGGTTGGCAGAGTCCATTTATGGAAATGACTCCAGGATCTTCACCTCCTTTTTAAAAATGCATCAAAATGAAGAAAAAAAATAGGATAAATTATCCCCTGATTTTAATTGAACAGAAGCTGCTGTTGTTCTTGGGGAATGGCCAATTGACCGAAAGCAAAAAGATTCACTATTAGGCAAGTAGGATTTATTTCCGTGCATGAGGAATGTTTTTGTTTGTCTTCTGCCTCTGCAGAACAGCTCTGAGGAGTTACCTTTATCTCCAATTAGGATTGGAGATTGCAATTATATTTTTAAATGTTTTAGGCTCTAAAAGTGAATTCCTATATGGGGTACAATAAGTCCAACAGGGCATCTATTCCTATGATGTGCAGTATTTACAGAGTATCTTATCCGATTGGGGTGTCCACTTTTCAAAATCCTGGCTGAACTCCCACAAAGCAAAAGTGAC